TAAAATCATCAAGTAATCGCAGAACCCATAATATAAGTTTGTAAAACATAATTTTTGAAAGTCATCGAGCTGATATATTCAATTTGTATCAAGACACGCTCTATCGAGAAGATATTCTAACAAAATTGAGAGAGAGAACAGTCTTCAGGAGTGACCCGGGTTTCCTGAAATCCGAGAACTCATGTCTTCTGCAATTCATCTTTTGCGCCGACCCTCTCGATTTGACCGTGCTTTGACGCGAACTCACCGAAGAAGATCGGCGCCAGAAACTGCGGATGACACGTGGAAATGAGGGCGTTTGTTCTAGAGCCGCGGATCACGATCAGGAAATCCGGTGTTATGCGACTAAGGGATACCAGAAGCGTTCCGGTCACCTCGGTGACGTGTCAACGAGTCTAAAGATTCCGTAAACGTATATCTGGCAGGCGAATAATACTGCGGACACGCTTAACACGTTGATGTAGTGGTTATGACCCCGTGGTGTGATACTGACATCTGTCTCATTGATAAGAAGAGTATGATCAATTCTAGTTTCCTTATCTTTTTTAAAATTGAGAATTTAAAATATCGATGAATGTAAGTAATTTAAAAAAATTACGAATCAGGCTCTAATTAATATAAATTCATAAATCAACGAAAATAAAGGAGGGCTATTCAAGCCAAGATGGGTGTCATATGCTATTAAAAATAACACTCAAATCACGCACATAATTTTAAAAATCATGCGTTTTAACCATTTAATGTGATCTCTTCAATTATATGAATATCAAGAGTATTACAAATTGAAACAGTACAATGGTTGATGAATCATAATTCTTGAGGAAGGAATTTGTTCCGTGAGATCCACGGAAGATTGTAACAACGATAAGATAGTAGGACTACAATTATGTTATAATTCAATGTACATTGACTAAGCAATTAAAAAAATTACAAATCACTAATGGATGTAAAATTTGAAGAAGGTATATCGATGTTTTATGTATTGCGTAGTTTTAATTTGTAATAGTTTTGATTGCGCATATTCATATATCATTAAAGGTAGCCACATTAAATGGTCAAAATGTATGATTTTTAAAATTATCATTTGAGTGCAATTTTTAATAAGTGACTCAGCTTCGCTCGAAAAAAGCCCTCCTTTATTTTCATTAATTTATGAATAAATAATTAATGGTGGTATCAATTAAACGGAATATAACATTTGTTTAATAACACTTTATTCTAATAATATTTCTTGATTTTTATATCGCGTGGATATATTATACGGAGAGACACTTTAACATTTTGCGTCTTTTGAAACGATAATATTTGGCGCAAAAATCAAATTTTATTTCATTAATTTGTAAGGCAGGAATCATTAACTGTATATGCATGATTAAATTAAAATGTTACTGACAATTTTTGACGGTAGTTTATTATCGCGAAGAACAATGTCATCATGTCGCACAGATAATTTATTAATTACAATTAACAATTCATATTAATTAATATAATTCGGTAAAGTACAGTGTGCTTATCGACCACATTACTTAAACGCGTATAATTTTGCAATATGAATTATTAATTATTAAACATTTAACAGCGTGATAACTCGTTTACGTAGGCAATTAAATCCCCGCTTTCGACCATTACCAAATAATTGAACTGTATTATGTAACGAATGAGATCATATAAACGTAAATTTATCTCTGACGAAGTAAAATTACCTTCTTCAAATATGTTTAGCATCACAAAAAATTGTTTTAAAATCGTTTTAGTTTATTCTCTGAAAAGATCTTCCTATATCCATGACTTTTAATGCGAGAATACAGTAAGTCTTTCGCGCTTCCCATCACGTTTATAGGTGATAAAGCGCCGACGGCTATATGAATCGAGCATAAGGGTACTTCATCCAATAAATCGCGGCACGGACCGTAAAATAGCCATGGTATTTCTTACGATTATGTCTAACGTGGCGTTGCGTTTAGGTGATTCGTTGCGGAAAAGAAATATTAGATATACATTATCAAATATCAAAGAGGAGCAATGGTAACCCAATCTCTTAAGTTAGATATAATGTTCCATTATTTTTAATTTCCATATACATTAAAATGTAAATTAATTCATTCTGTGATTAGTTTCAGAATAAACATCGTCCATATTAAAATGTATGCATTTAGTAAATAATAAACTAAATTTGAGTCAAATTTAATACATTTTCTTGAGTTGAATTATTTAATTTTATTGTTTTAGTCAAATTAATAATATATTGACTAGGCGCAATATCAACCTATAGAAATAATTAAAAATAACTTAAATTAGGTGTAATTTGACATGAATTAAACAGTGTATAAATTTAATAGTTACAAATTTAACAGTGTATATAAAAAAATCAGTGAAAAAAATTATATGTGAGCAGTTAGGTCAGTGATTTTTTTTACTTCTTTTAGACCAAAATTCGACTTATTTTTCAATATAGGCTCCTTTTAAAAAGTCACTAACTTATTCAACTGTCCACGAATTATTATCATTGCGTCTCTTCTTATTGTCATACGAATCACTGATTGTGAGTATATTAACGGATCTATTTGACGTTTATTAATCTTATTTTTATGTACTAGTTTTATATACTTTTCCATATACACATTCCAAGTTTATTCGTTTAAAAAATTATATTTAAGAAGGGGATACTCACTGAGATCGGTCGGTTCGGCCGGAGCGAGCGTTTTCCGGTCCTGTATCGCCGCTATCGTTGCTAGCCGTCGAGGCCGCGACCCGGCTGGCGAGGAGTGTCGGGGCACTCCGATAGATACTGCACGGACGATTGAAAGCGATAAGGGCGATAAGGGCGCATCTCACCTCGCTCGTGCCGGCCTGGAGCCGTCGCTCTCTCTGCCCACCACCGTCTGCGTCTCCCGTGCTTCTTCGACGTCCTCTTCTTGATCCTCGAAAAGATCCAGAAGCCCCCAGCCTCTGGCAGAGCGCATGGTCACTGGGTTCCCCCGTTTTCTACCCCTTCGCACTTCGCGCCCTCTCGCCCTTCCACCTGTTCGCCATCTCTTTCTCTTTCAGTCCTGCTTCCGCCTCCTGCCTTTTGACTATACATTTCTCTCTCTTCATTGTACACACATGCGCATACAAAACATTGATACACGCACATACTCTCACACAACACGCATGCTAATTTCTTTTTGTTCTCTCCTCTTTCCCGTCTTTTCCCTTTTTATCTATTTTTTTAAATATTAACTAAATTTATTTGCGTGTTCCTCTCATTTTCGTTCGTTATTTCTCCTTCTCTCGTTCCTCCCCACCTTACAACCGATGAGTTCCTCTTTCGCGTGGCCTATTTCGACATTACTCTGGTCATTCGTCTCCCTCCACCGAAGCGATTGTTGACGCCCCCATATTGTCTCTGTATCATCCATTCCCTTGCGATCCACCCCTTCTCAAATCTGTCAATCTTTAACAGAATCGACAGTATCTATCTGTAGCTATTCATTTTTTTTTCTTATTCCACGTCAGATATATATTCTTTATCATCAGTAGTCTATTTACGATTCTAAGCACTGAGAAAAAAGTAGCCTAAATTTTAAATAAATATTTATTTGAATACTGCCAACTAAACATTTACTTACAATAAATAAATAGTTACTTAATAAAAAGTGATTAATGAAAAGAAGTTAAATCAAATTAATGTTTTTTTGTACCAAATAAATATATTTTTATGTTTAATAAATATTTAGTTGGTACTATAAATAAATATTTATTGAAATTTAGGATATTTTGTCCTCAATGCGCGATTATCAAATAAAATTAATAATAATAAATGAATAAGTTTCTTCTATAATTTAGCTGAATAGAACGAATTGAGATTTGTTGAAATTGAGAATTGTCTCGCAATTTTGTATCTAAATATAAATACATTTCCCCGATCTTGACATTGTTGAATATAGTGTAGATCCTTTTGGGAAACAGTAAAAAGGAATAAGAAGTGAATCGGTTTATAATTTTCGTCTTAACTCATAACACACGAACGTAATCAAGATTCTCCGACTTTAGCCGCCTGGGAATGGCGCGATCCGTGTGGAATTTACTTCGAGGCTACAAAGGAATGCAAAGATCGCGAAGAATTCTCTATATGAGTCGTCAACGCCCCTTTGGCTCTTTATTAAAACGGCTCTTATCGCATTCCAGAAACAAAGATAGCCGATATATTCGCGCGTCATCGCCATCTATTTTCGACATTCACGGGTTGAAGTTCTGGCATTGGTTAATGAAGAAACGCGAGATGGAAATTCTTCCACTGCGCGTGAGTGTTACGTTTGTTAAGAGACAGGTAAATAAACGAGCCAACCCCCTTCGCGCGGTGGACTTCCCGGAAAGTCGTTCTCGTTGCTAGTTTGCCACCTGTGGAGTCGAACGCGAAAGCAATATAGAAATTCCAGGCAGGAAGTGAATTCACTTGTTGATTTTAGGAAACTCCTGAGGAAAACACACGAGGTGCAACTTGTTGCTAAAGGAATCGTCGCTAATCGGTTTTAGCCGTAAAGTTTTACATAGGGATGGATGGTGGGTGATGAACGAAGTAAAAGAATCTGGAGATAGGAGATTATCATCGAAATAACGAGAGTGTTCAAGTAGATCGAATTAATATTGCCTGGGGTCAACTTCGTCAGCGATCTTCGATGGCTATCTCAGTTAATAATCTTAGCGTTTAAATTGAGAATAATTTAAATTATATATCGTTATAATCGCACGTGTATAAATTTTTTTATAACATTACTAGGCAAAAATAAAACTGCAGGTAATATTTTTTAAATATATTTCCGTGGATTTGTGGAAGTATTGAAACGTGCATTTATTGTAAAGTACATTGTACGATTTGTAATACCAAAAAAGATTAATATTTGTGAATGAGAAACAATTAAAGCCCCCTAGAAGTTTGTTCCATTTTGGGGTTTATTGACTTGATAATCTTGATAATCAACTTGAGTTGGAGCTTATTTTAGTACAGCTTCATTTTCACAAAGATTCAATTTCACAAAGGACGAACGATGACGAGGAGTAAAACGACGATATTCCTTACTTAACTTGTAACTCACGTTATTATTCTGTCAGTTTACAGTTCCATCACTTTTTGAATAATATATGTGTATAAAAAAAATAATCAGGCTGTAGTTCACGTTTTTTCGTCGGCTTGAATAAATCTTGTGATTAAATCCTACAATAATGCGATGACACCTACATAACAGAATAAAAGATTATATTAGCGTTTTACTAATTTCTTAATATTAGCGTGACGGTATAAGACATTAGGTATAAAATCTTCGCACATGTTTATAAAAGTAAACGAGTTAAAAGATTATAGATCTTTAACTTCGTAGATTAGGAATTAATTTTCCATTTTCTGATATCTTATTTCTATACATTGAAAGAAAAGATTTGCTGCTGTAGCAAATTAGATGATAAAATATGGCACAGTATTTTTAATTGGCTACAACAGGCTGTTGCAACTAATTTTTGGTTGTGTTAGCCTATCTGCAATGTAAATATTAAAAATTAATATTATAAGATAACATGTAATGAAATATATAATAATAATACATATAATTAAATTATAGGGGAGACTGGGGATAGTAGACTCATTTTTTAGTTTCGAATTTTTATAGACGAAATTAAGAGACTTATCGAAAAAATGAATTCTACGCCAGTTACTACATACATTTGACTATCTAATAATATTTTAATAATAAGGGAAAACTGATAATTACTATGAAAAAAAATGCATTTTTCTAATGCATTCCATCTGATTTAACTAGCCCCGGGACCGGGGTAAAATGACTGATGGTATGGGGTAATTTGATTAACATTATTAAAATGAAGATTAATAAATATTTTAAGGTACATCTTTGGCTACATAATAACAAAAATTTTATAAAAATGTATTTTAAACACAAACATATTTATTATAAAAAATGTATAACTTTGTACTAAATGACAATTTATCTAATCCGAATCGTTATCCGAATTACAGTTATAACAAACATAATACGATAAGTTACCCTTTATGCATTTAGAGTATCCACACGCATGTTCACAAAATTATACTTTTAATTATTCTTAATATTTTCACATTATTATTATTACTTCTATTACACTTAAAAATAATTTTACAAAAGAAAGAAGGATGTATGAACATATATGGATATGTTTCATATATAATTATATATGTTTATGAATATTTATACATGTTTATGACCCCGGTCTCCCCTATACCTTTTAAATTATCTTATATTTTAATAAAGCACGCATCAAATTAGCATTAAACATCCATAATCTTCGACAAGTGGCACAACAAATGTGTGAGCGTCGAACACAATAGGTGCCAAATAATGCATTGTACGGAAATGGGGAAGTTTTGCGAAAGTCTCGTCTCCTTCTCGGTATATAGGGAGCAGGGGTTGAGAAAACGCGTAATTGAATGACACGGAACTCGGGTACTCGATGAATAGAATTCAATGAGTCGACACTACCTGCAAATGCACGGGGACGTCGCGAGTTACGATCCGGACCCGGCCTCTCGCTCGACGTCTTCGCCACGAAGATCGACGCAGTCTTGTCGCGAATTTAATCTTCGAGACGAAGCAGCGGCTGCGGGGTGGTTTCATCCGCGCGCGTTCGAAAGTTCCGTCCATTTTGAGGAAACCAGCTAGCTTCTATCTGCGTCTCGAATCCGATTCGCCATTTTGCGTTGCAGCAAACACAAAGGCTGCGTTTCGTTTCACGCATGATGCGCATAATGCATCATTTATTCTTGTTTAACATTCGGTGAATAACAAGGATAAAAGATGCATCATGCGCATCATGCGTGAAACGGAACGCAGCCATAGATTCGTCGAGTCAAACGTCGCGTAGAGAAGAGATGAAATAAAATGTAAGGAAGTAAGGATTTAACCTATGCTGCGTCTCGCAAGGAACATCGCCGTTGTACTCCTCGAAATGATATTCTCACATAAAAAGCATGGTTGCGTTAAAAGGGGGCAGGGCTCGTTTGATTCGTGTCACTTCTGCCCGCTATGATTTTTTCGAGATAGTTTGCATATCGAACGACGTTGCTCGTGGCAACTGGCAATCGATCTCGCAGCACGTGCTAGCGAGAAGCTTTAACCGTTCAATGAGTTCAATCACGTCATCCCACAAAATCATTAGCCTTCACGTCCCCTCATATCAGTCACATCCCCTTGATCGTATTGGGATGAACGAAACCAAGCATGTCAGTGAGATAATATGATTGAGCATTGAAGTTTCAAGGTTTGCGATAAAATTTGTGTATTTTAGATTATGAAACAGATTGGCATCTGTGGTAAGTTTATATTTCTTTAGATTATGAAATCAGATTGATTTTGATGGTGGATAAAAGTACATGGAGAGAATTATTTTTTAAAAGTTACCCTGAAAATATGGTAAAATTGTGGTACAATATAATATTTTAAAGATTTTTACTATGCACTTCAGTAAAATTAATCAAACTTATTTTATACTTTATTATAGTTTTATTAATGAATGAGATAGATTTACATTAAAATTCTTCGAAATGCAGTGTTGTCCCACGACTATCATATTTTCAGGGTAACTCTAAGAAAAAATTCTCTCCATGTAGCTTATATATAATTAAAGAAATGATTTTGCTGAATTTTGATTTATTTAAAAATTTAGCTGCATACAGATTTAAAAATAATTTTGTTGGATCATCAAAATAATTTTGTAGAAATCTCAAGCATGATCAGCAATGCTGCAAAATGTTTTGACATTCTAGCAGTTTGACGTCCTACGTAATTATTTAGATAGTCTAATAAAATTATTTCAGATTTTTGTATCTAGCTAAAATTTTAGATATATATTTCAACCATTCTTTTTGTATAATTATATTTACAAAATAATGACACGTGCGACATTATTAATAAAATAAACAGGGATTATTAAGCACTTAAAAATAAGCTGATAACGTATTGAAAAATAATCAAACGAATTATAAATATTTTAAGCAGCAAATAGGTTCCCTTTAAATTGCACGCTTCTATGAGCTTGGCAGAAAATAAACTTCTTGTCGATCGACAGTTGATTTCATATTGCGCGATTTTTAATCTCAAGGGAGAAAAATCGAATTTCGATGAAAAGCGAATTCGATTTGCTCTCGATAGAGAGACGGAGAGAAAGAGAGATGGACAAGCCCGCGTCGGGTCGCAATTTTTAATTTTTCAGACGATAGCGGATAGCTTCCCACGCGCGAGATGTCGATTCGCCGCGATATGGCGTCGATGGATTTCATTAACTCGAAGAACCCGCGCTTCGTTCAACGTTGAACGAACGAACGAACGAACGAACGGTGGTGGTGGTATGCGAAGATGACAACGCGCGCTCTCGCGGTCGGTCTATCGTTTCGCTGAAAATCGTGGAATTTCTTTATTGTTCGCCACGGCATCGAGGGGTTCTGGGCTTTCCTTACCCCTCCGGAACGTCTTTCTCTCTCTCTCACTCCTCTTGCCTTGGCACCCTATCTCTTGTCCGCCACCTTCTCGTACGAGACGACGCCGTCACCCGCAGATGCTGCTCTCAACCCTGCACCACTATAATTAATACGGCAGCGAACGTTCCGGGCAACGTAAGGTTAATTCAATTCGCGCGAAACGTAAGCGGTCTCCGGTTTTTTCCAAGGGATGTACTTCTTCGAAGGAGATACGAAAGATTTCGAAAGGGCGCTCCTCATGCGAAGATGTCGCGGCGAATTGAGACTTTAATCGCGTTTAACGTCGGATTACTCGGCGTGAGTAACATTTTTCAGGGGAGGGAAACATAAATAGATGAGGTAATTAGGATAGGATAAAATAAATAGTAAAAGAAAGACAATAATGCGTGTATAGAATGAATTGTGTGTATTGAATATTACATACACTGAAAAAAAGATTGACTGCTGTAGCAAATTAGATGGTAAAATATGGCATAGCATTTTTAATTGGTTGCAGCAGCCAATTTTTGGTTGCGTTAGCCTATCTGCAATGTCAGTACAGGATTTCGATAGACTAACACAACCAAAAATTGACTGCTGCAACCAATTAAAAATGCTATGCCATATTTTACCATCTAATTTACTGTAGCATCCAATCTTTTTTTTCAGTGTAGGAAAAATGTTTTGTTTTATAAACCAAAATTTTATTGTAACAAGAAAAATTTAGCTGAAATATATCGAACAGAAATTTTTGGTGAATATGTACGGAACAAAATTGTAATTTTACGTGAACATTGTTTAGTTGATATAAACAGATATTTTTGTTACAAAGCAAAGAAATTATTTTGCAAAAGTAACTAATTTTTTTGTTATACAAACAAATTATTTCGTCGCTGCTAAAAAATACCTCGTAGAAAATTGTGTTTCATACGCATAGAATTTATAACACAAATTCTATCTCTATCATCTATATGATTAGATGCAATACATATCCAATATCGCAATACTTGCTAGAAATTTATCTATTCTAGCTATTTTTCGTACTTAGATAATTTTTGCTATAACTGCAAGATCACTTTTTTGAATGATGTATTGATTGTAATAGTATATTTAAGACATAGATAAAAGATAGAAGAGCAATAATAAGGATAGAAAAGATAGAGAGATAGGAAGTAGGACAATAAGCAATTAATAATATAGTAAGAAAGCGTGTGAGGAAGATACAGATGAGTAAGGTATACAGAGAAAAATATTGATTGAATTAACTGAAATTCTGGTGAAAAAAATGAACAATCCATAATTCTGGTTAAGTCTATTAGATTTCTGGTTAAATCTACTAGTAGATTTGTCCAAGGAAATTCTGAATGTTGCTTAATTGAACTACGATTCTACATTGAAAAAAAAGATTGGCTGCTGCAGCAAATTAGATGATAAAATATGGCATAGCATTTTTAATTGGCTGCAGCAGCCAATTTTTGGTTGTAGCAACCAATTTTTGGTTACGTTAGCCTATCCGCAATGTCAGTATAGAATTTCGATAGGCTAACGCACAGCAGCCAATCTTTTTTTTCAGTGTAGTAGATTTAACCAGAATTCTGGATCGTTTATTTTCCATTAGAATTTTAGTTAATTCAACCAAACATTTTTCTTCATATAGGAACAATGTTTGTAAACCAGTCCCTTACTATTAAATGCTGAAGAGAATAAAATTCTTTAATATTTTTCTTCTTTCATGAAATTTTGTTCTACACTGAAAAAAAATTGGTTGTTGCAGCAAATTAGATGGTAAAATATAGTATAGCATTTTTAATTGGCTGCAGCAGCCCATTTTTGGTTGTAGCAACCAATTTTTGGTTACGTTAGCCTATCCGCAATGTCAGTATAGAATTTCGATAGGCTAACGCAATCAAAAATTGGCTGCTGCAACCAATTTAAAATGCTATGCCATATTTTACCATCTAATTTGCTGCAGCAAGCAATTTTTTCTTTCAATTTACGGACAAGATCCGTGATATAGGCAATCTCCAACGAATCGTTGTTAGTATATGTGAGACTACAAGATTGACATGCTGAATATTGTACTCTCTGCTGTATGTTGTCAGATAAGAATTAAGAAACCAGCTTTTTGTCGGTTGGTTACATTTATGCCGCCGTGTTTTTCATCTTTATTTATAATTCGCGTTCGGGTAGCGTACTTTACGAAAAAGAATTGGATGAGATCCGGAATTGACCATCGGTCTTGGAAACACTCTCGCCGTCCTCATGAAAGGCAATAAGCTCACACGATATCCTACGGCGAATCTACGAGCTTGTCGTTTATCTACCGCATCATTTCCCATCGTTTCTCGTTCCCCCATTTCTTCATTTCCTTAAATTCAATTCATGCATTGCCCACAATATCCACTTCCTCGAAAGCTCTTATCCTATCTTTTCCATCTCAAATTTTCGTAGATTCCGTAAATGACAACTTGGACAAATTCATATTTTCATGCTAAACAATAAATGACTGTCTCGAATTATTTAACTTAAAATCTGCAATATTAAATTATTTTTTTTATTAATATATAACGCATTTTCGATTTTATAGTACCGATATCTTACAATATCGCGATAGAATAATATGTAACATATAGAAACATAAAAAATTAACGAAATATGAACATGAATGTAAACTCTGGATTTTTCTTTTTTATGTAAACATATATATATATATATACATGTTCCATTCTCTCGCGATTCGACCATTCTTATTGCATAAATATGGTTTCTCTTGCGAAAGACTCAAGTCTCGTCCCGCGGCAAAGCGGCTTTTATTAGCCGAAAAGTAAAGAAGCCACGTTTCTGCGAGAAGTTGCTAGGCTCGCTCGTTAGTACAGTAATACTGAAGAAATTCTATTGCCCTCGCTATCGACTATCACGTCCGACTCTTCTTCCCAGTCCGCAAACTTCATCGCTAAGGATATCTTTTTACTGACGCATTTAATCATACTCAATACAATACATAGATATTCAAACGTAGAGCAACGTAAAAGCAGATTTCATTGACTTTTCGGCTCAACGTCTTTAGTGATTTGTCTTTCTGATTTTTTTGTTACATCGTCTATCCTCAATATATAATATCATATCGTGCATTATCACATCAGAAATCTGTGTAAATGAATGCAGTGTAATTTGTTCGCTTGTCCTTATTTCGTATTTTTCGCAGAATAGACATAGAGCTTCACCTTTTCTTTACTTTTTCTTTCATTATTTTGGGACTTTTTTGGCTTCTTTTAGAAGCCTCACTTTTTTCTATTGTCTTCGGGCTTAATTTTGTAATTCACGCATATCTCAAACGGATTTCCCTCAATCTTTTCGCGGGAAACGGACAGCGCTCTGTTAACCGTATTTCTCGTGATGCGGCACGGTAACTCTCGACGCGTGCGAACCGAGGGTGCAGCTCAGCAACGGAAAAAGAAAATGATCGATGCTTAGCTTAAGCCAAGAGTTACATCGAAAGCCTTTCTCTCTCCGACATTTTCCTCGGATTAGTTCTGCGGAGGTTAACGCCTGCCTCGTTACTTTAAGCAATCGCAGCAGAGCTGTGGAGTGTCTCCGCAGCTAAATCTTCCGAAGTTGTCAACGTTGCGGATAGAACAGACCATATAGAGTTCAAAGCTAATCTGCGAAAAAGCTCGTCGTATCTTAACGAGCTCTCCATCTGCTTTCACTGTGTCTTATTTTCCTCTAATTGTGCAATACTTAAATATAGGAATTACTAATGCTAATTAAGTGTATCAATAGTAATCCGATCTTGATGTATTCTTTTCCTTTTGGCTCGGTCCACTGTAAACAATCACTGTCACAAACACTATGAAGGGGGACACTTGCGATGAAAATTAAATATATTAAGATTTATTAACAGATACATTATATACATTAACTTTTTTATACTCATTCGATCCACATATTAATGTTAATGTTATAACAGAGTCGCACAAGTTCTATTTAATACATACACATTTTGTCTTTTATTAATGAAGTTGTCAATTCATACTGCGTATCATGGTGAAAAAGGACGCCGCAGATGATACCATCTAAAACATGATGTCTTATCGTTTGCGAAATGATTAACTGACTCTACTAATTTGTTTAAATTTGTTATACGATCATATCATTTAGATAAATATGATTAAAAGCTGTAAAAAATACAAGATACAAAATTTTCACAAAAAAAAGATCTTACATCAACAGACAAAGTTATCAAATGTTAGAAAAAATGTTTTAAATAAAATATTATAGTAAGAGAAAATTATATGTTGAGTCAAATAAACCTAAGCAGACACTAATAACAAATAAAGCATGCTTTTTATAACGGAAAACGTACGGATGCGAATGTTTGCAAGGATAATGGTATGATGTGGCCGGCGGTTAGTTGCGCTGGTTTCTGAGATCTCATTATAATAATATTTACAGATCTTTTTAGTTGATACGGGAAACGATACCACGGCGTGAAATACATCGCTCTCGCTACGTCCTGGCTCTGAAACAATCCAATAGCGGTATTGTAAGCCGCAAGATAAATATAAGTAAGAAACTAATAAAATGTAAAAAGATGTTACGCGCAAGAGTATTAGAAGAATTGTGTGCTCTTTAAGCGCCTTTTCTATATTTGTGAAAAGCAATGCACATTTTTCATTCTCAAGTTTTAATGACACATGTTTGTGTCATTAAATCCTTTATGTTTTTATACTTGCCTTTAATGAAATACGATAAAGCGAAGATATATTTTATTATTATAATAGATTCTGAAGTTTTTTTAAGTTCTTTAAGAATACTTTATGATTTTATTTTTTAGTTTCGAGAATGAAGATCGAAGTATTCCTTATTCTAGAAACTATTTTATAAGATCAATTGTTTCATTCATTTATATGTTTCCTTTTTGTTTTCGTCTAATCTTCTTTTATATATTTTAAAGTTATTGAAAGCTAATTAATATATCTGATTAGTTTATGTATCTCTTTAACATACCTCGATAACAAGAACGTTCGCGGCCCAGTTACTTAAAAACAATTGAATCACTGCAATTAACAGTTGTGTTGCATATTTAAATTTATCAGGATCATCCTGTAATATTGACATATAGTTGGTAATAGTTAAAATGTTTACATACTATAGAATGGCAAACCAACTCATTTATCACACATTTAAATTGTTTTATAAAATTAAAATCCTATCATTTCAGATTCTAAAAAGCTGAAAATTATTGTCATTTTTTTAGACAAAATGAAAAAAGGTTTATAAAAACTTGATTTTGTCTTAAATATATGATGACTCAAAATTACAAGGTGAATTAATAATATATAAATGAAAAGATAATTTAAACTCTTACCCCCGCTAATTTAAATCCCACGAGAGAAACATTGTACGTACTGCCGAGCAGTTGCGTTAAAAAAATGCTGGTGGTCAGGCTCTCGACTTCTTTGCAAAGTCTATTCAAACAACGTCATAAATTTTTTGATTAATTAAACCATTTTTGCAAGTAAGAAATATTTGTTAATCGTTTAAAAGACTTAAAAAATTTAATAAGTCAATCACTATTAATTTTTTTTAAACAAGAATCATCCTCTTTATCATTACTTACTCGAACATCGTCTGATGATAGTATATGCAGGCCTCGAGATTAGATTTCAGGTGATTTTTCGATATATAATTTCTTTCACGCATTATTTCGAGCGATTCCATGGAACTTGAACATGATCCTTCTGAATGTACTCGGTTGTGATCGTTCAGGTGCAAAATTCGCGTATTAAGGATTTTAAAGTGGCCGCAAATAGTCAGGACAAGCACCGGTCCAACCGTATCCGTACCGGCACAAGTGAGACCGACGTGTATCATGCTGCATAATTGGGCGATATACATTATTTCGTAATAGGGTGACCGATGGACTTCCACCGGACAGACGTACGGCAGGGTTCTTATTGTCGCGTTTAACGCGTCGTCGTACTGTCCCATGAAAAGATTCGCCAAGGCATAAAAGAAGATCGTGAAAGCACAACTAAATAGATAGTAGTAAGTCAAATGTCTCGTCGTTTTCACGTAATCGCGGACGTGCTTCTTCTCGGTGGCGTTTAACGTCGTCCAGAGTTCCTCGCAGATTGCCAACAATCGCTGAAACCTATTCCGAAATAAGAGGAGAATCGTGAACCGCGCTTGTCCACCCACGAGGGAGAGTATCATCGCGAATGACTCCATCCAGGTGTCGAGGTAGACTGTATGCAACACGAATTCGTACGTGTACAGACCCGCGTATGCGAACAGACAACCGTACGCGATGGCTCTGAGGATGTTTTGCGTGCTCGATTGATAGATACTCCCGTTTTCGTAGGACACCACTCCGGAGAGTCTTAGCAGCGCGATGTTCACGCGGATGACACTTGCGAACGAATTGTCCGATACCATTCTTAAGGAAGTAGCTGAATGATGAACTGACGAATACAATAGACACAAGAACTCGAATCTCAGCAGCGTCAACTCAATCGAATCGTGACGAAATCGCGTCCGTCTTCTGCTTGGAAATCGCGAGTCGTCGGAACCCTGCGAGCATCGGTAGATCTATAGAATTCGCGAGAGCCTATAGAATTTGCACCTGCGCAAGTCTCGAGCGTGGACATGAAATAGCGTGTTTGTGCCCTGTGATCATTTGTGAAATAATTAATTATTCCCGCTGTGAAAAGCGTCCTCCGCAAATTTGCTAGCAAACTTTTGCCGACAGAAGTATCGGCGAGCGAGCACGATGAATGAATAATTGATATTTGAAACTCTGAGATTGAAGTTACAATGGCGTGACGATGCAGCGTGCAATTCTGCTCGAACAGACGGGTTTAAGAAGTTACGCTAAACATAGGTTTCCTGTGTTCTTTCTTTCCTTGCGTGGAATTAAAAAAGACTATCGCGGCGTGCTTGAACCGTGAGGGTTTCGTGCGCGTAATTTTATTCTTTAAGGATATTATTTTTATCTTTCTATTATTTTTTTCTTTTTGTTTTAATATTTACGACACATTTTTGAATTACGGGAATATCTGAATATCAATTATTAATTTTTTTTCTTAGGGCGGAAATGAGAAAAGCGAAATTTTTGTTACATATGAACAAAAATTTTTCACTTTTCACGTTTCCATCTTAAAGAAAAAGTTATATAATCGCTATTCTAGTAGGTAATAAGTATTGTGGCGAAGAATGGAAGAAAGCTCGATATTAACTCAATCGTTTTCATTAGTGTTAATGATTAATGTCAATGCAATTGTTTTTATATTTCCAACTGCGTTTTTTTGAGCTTGGTTCTTCCTTTTTGTTTAAAAAAATTTTTTTAAATCGGATCTCTGTGCGCTCTACAAATATTTCCATTAATCCTAGATATTGCGACAATAAAAATAGTAAAGGAAACAATCAAGGTCGGTTGTCACAGTTTTTGATTAGTGATTTTTAGAAAAAAGTGGATGTACGATTTTGAAATATTATATAAGTAAATATTAATATACCTATATCCTTTAGGTTTTAAAAAAATCAAAATTTAAATATTAATCGGGCTCTCGAAATTAAAAACAATAATGGAATATACGGGCAATGAGAGCGTCCAAATAAGTTTGTATTGTCAGTCATTGTACAATTTTAATATATTATGTGAATATTATTTGACTATTATATAAATTGCGCACCAATTCCCGCGCTGTGTCAACGCTCTCATTGCCCATATATTCTATTACTGTTATTAAAAAAAATATTACTTTTAAATTCATCATCGTATGAATAAGTTATTCAATTTTAAATAAAGCTGCAAAAATGTGACAATTAACTCGTGTTCTATCACACTCGGGTTGATTGTCACACGTTCTAGGATTGACAATTTATTGTGGACAACACATATAAAAAATACAATTTTTCTTTTAATATCAGTTCTATATTTACAGTCTTAAGATGTCACGAACCAATTAAAGAGCCGTATTAACATCTTATATTACTTAAGACGGTTTTAAAATAAGAATCGATTATGAATACCGACCTAAATCTATTTATTATATTTGACTTGTGTTTGGGGACTGTAGATGGATAAAGACTAGGCTAATCTTTGCTCAGCAAGTAACAGCTCGACGTGAACGAGAGTCTTCTATGATAAGTTACTAACTGAGTCAAAAAGATCTCAAATGTTTATTCTTCGTTGATAGCGCAGCCTAAATCAATAATTGAAAATGTCTTATACTAGCGTACAATCTATTTTATCAATTTGTGTTGAAAATATTAATACATATTTGTATCGTTAAGGCAGCTATTAACAATACAAATATTAATTAAATTAACAATTAATAATCGTGTACAAAAATGAGGTGATATACAGTATTAGAAGTTAAAATTTCTTAGTCATGTGTTTCTTTAAATTTTAATTTCGTTGAATTTAGTAAGAATTTTAAACATTTATTTAATCTGGTGGCGGTAAAATATTGATTTTATTTCTCGACGCAGTATAGACTTCCTAGATGGCAGCATGTCGATCTAATAGCGTTATCACAAAATATTCTATGACACAAAATGACTAGACCTTGTTTTTGTACTTTTTTTAATAAAAGGAAATATCACAGTATAGTTACTTGGGCTTAATGAGTCTCCAGTTTCAAACTCAACACACTGACTGTTAAATTGACACATGAATATTTATGTACATTTATACGTATTGTATTCATTTATATCATACGTTTTTGTGATTTTTTCATAAACCTTTGAGACAAAGTGAAAATTATTTAACTTAAGACGATTAGGAACAATAAAATAATACAGCATGACTCATACACGTATTTGACAATGAGATATAAACGGAGCAAAATAGAAAGAGTTATTTATCTATATTTGTGTATTTAAGAAAATTATTAATTTTTTTAATAAAAAAGACTATAATATTTAATAATACAGTAAGAAATATAAAGTATAAATAACGCAAAAGAATTTCACAATACAATAGTAACGTTTATTATTCATAAAAGTCACCATTAATGAAAGTAGGGAGGAAATATAAGAAAAGTAAAATTTATGTTTGGTGGACACTTTTATTTTTAATTTGTAATTACTTTCATAATGACAAATTAGCTAAGTAAATTATTATATAATGCACAGATACAACACAGATATTCATGCTAATATTAATATTAATTATTACACTGCGACAAAAAAGTACATTAAAGCGATGAATTAGAAGAGCTTATATTTCCAACATTATTAATCTCGCTCAATCAATCTCTGTTACTCGATTCTTATTAAAAAAAATTCACATTGTTCTTTTCTCTTTTTTTATACAAAACGTCTGTTTTTTTTTCCCTCGAAGATACCTAATCTTCGAGGGAATGCTAATCCATTAGCGATAAATAAGAAACTCTTAATACATTAAGAAACATATACCGTAATCAGCACTACTGATTAGTTAGTGTCATTAGCACCCTCAAGAGTATCTTCCCCACTTGACTTCGTATAATTGCAACCCCCAAAACCACCTAAACTCTCAAGATAGGCGACTCTCACGTGTAACGTTTACGGAGCGCTGGCGTCTCGTTGGGACACGCTGTCCGGCTATTTTCACCAAGTGCGATGCTCGGTCGACGGGG